ATGATTCGGATATGTTCGTCCCATGTGTTGCTGTGATGACATCATCAATGTAGGCCTCGCATCCCTCGAGGTTTTGAAGAAGGGAGTGAATCATCCTTTGGAATGTAGCCGGTGCATTTTTCATACCAAAAGGCATTACTTTATACTAGTAAAGTCCATCTGGTGTAGCAAAAGCAGATATTTCTTTTGCTCTTTCTGTTAACTGCACTTGCCAGTAGCCTTTCAACAGGTCAAATTTACTGACAAATTTCGCGTTTCCAATGTTGTCAATACAGTCATCGATTCTAGGTATTGGATATGAATCAGTTTTGGTAACAGAATTCACCTTTCTAAAGTCTGTACATAATCGTTAGGTTCCGTCCTGTTTTGATACAAGAATACATGGTGAGCTCCAGTTACTTTTACTAGGTTCGACAATGTCATTGTCTAACATGTACTGCACTTCCCTTCTTAGGTACTGCAATTTTATTGGATTAAGACGGTACGGATGTTGTTTGATAGGCAGAGCGTCACCCACTATGACATCATAACAAGCTGCATTAGTTTTCTTTGGAACATCCGAAAAGATCTGATGATACTCACTCGTCAAGTTTTTAACTTGTTCATTTTGGTGAATGTTCAAATGTCCAAGTTTAGCATCCTAATTAGCCAAAACTTCTGAGTTTTTCAAACGGACACTCTGATTACAATCTTTCTCATTCATTTCTACACTCGTATCACTTTCAATACAATTTTGAACAGTCTTAGCATCGGCTAAAGTGGAAACTGGTTTTACAGAATTTCGGTCACGCCTTTCAAAATACTCTTTCAACATGTTTATGTGACAAACCCGTTTCTCTTTACGTCGACCTGGTGTCTTAACTACATAGTTTACATCACTAATCTTGCTTTCAATTTCATAATGGCCGTAATATCTGGCCTGTAAAGGATGACCAGGAATAGGTAAAAATCAAGAACCTTATCACCTGGCTTAAACACCCTATTTCTGGCATCTTTGTCATACCACATTTTCATTTTCATCTGAGAACTCTTCAAATTTTCTTGTGCTAATTTACAAGCATTGTAAAGTTTTTCTTTGAAATCAGACACATAATCTAAAAGATTAAGATCACTAGTCTCAGTCAGCCACTTTTCCTTCAACAATTTCAAAGGTCCTCTAACTGTATGACCAAACACCAATTCAAAAGGACTGAACCCAAGAGACTCCTCAACTGTCTCTCGTGCAGCAAATAGCACAAGATGAACCCCTTCATCCCAGTCTTTCTCATACTGATAACAATAGGTATTCAGCATTGTTTTTAAGGTCTGGTGAAAACGTTCTAGCGCCCCGTGGGACTCAGGATGATAAGCAGTTGATCTATATTGCCTTATGCCCAACTCATGCATGACTTGCTGGAACAACCCCGACATAAAATTTGAGCCTTGATCCGACTGAATTGCCTTGGGTGCTCCCACAAAACTGAAAAACTTGGTTAGGACCTTAACTATAGTCTTTGCCTTAATATTCCTGAGAGGTATGGCTTCAGGGAATCGAGTTGATGTACACATAATGGTAAGTAAATACTGGTTCACATATCTAGTCCTAGGCAAAGGTCCTACACCATCCACCAACACTCGACTAAACGGTTCTTCAAAAGCTGGAATTGGTTGAGAGGGGCGGATGGTATCTTCTGATTCGGTTTACCTACCATCTGACGAACATGACATGACTTGCAAAACTTCGAAACATCCTTTCTTAGCTTAGGCCAATAAAAATGACTCAAAATCCTATTTTAAGTCTTATTGACACCTAAATGACCTGTCATAGGTGTATCATGAGCTAAACTCACTACATCTTGACGATAAGCAGCTGGTACCACTATTTGGTGAACAACACGCCACACTTGGTCTGGGGAAGCGTAGGTGGTCGCCATTTTCGGCATAAGGATGCCATCTTTCATATGAAGAAACATTCTCCAACTTTAGTGGTCTCTTCTGGTGGAAGTGCCCTCTTACTAAGTTGAATGATATCTGGGTCTTTATGTTGTGCTGAAAGTAACTGCTCTCAGCTTATGATATCCTTGCCTTGGCTTTCCGGTAGTTTAACTCATCTTCATCACCACTAAATTTTGATAAAGGTTCATTCGTCACCGACTTCTTGATATTGTGTGGTTCCATGCTTGTTTGAGTGCCATCAAGGTCAGATAAGAAAGTGTCATTCAAATCAATATCAGTAGAAGAATTTGCACTGTCAAAGGCTTGAGTATGGTCTGTCTCCATTTCTCGTCTTTTGGCCATTGCTCTGGATATATGTCATCATCTTCATCGTTAGTTGACATTATTGAAGTGATTTTCTCACAAACTATTCCAGGATCTGGTACAACTTTTCCACCAGCTTAATCGTTGCCAAGCAGCAAGGAAATTCCTGGAACGGGAAGAGTAGGTCGAACTCCTACAGTAACAGGTCCAGTAACTAAATATGACATCAAACAAATTCTATGCAGGGGAACATCAATGACGCCTAGCTCCACACCCTGTAATAAAACTGACCCACCAGTAGAAGTCTGCTCAGACAAAGGAAGCACGTCCTCTAACAATAACGTCTTTGCAGCACCAGTATCTCTCAAAATCTGGACAGGTTAATTTCGCTAGAGTCTCCGAGTGAAACAAATCCCTGAGACATAAAGGGCTTATAATCCTCCATGGAATCAATAGAACTGGACTGTGAACCCTGGACATCAGGAGTGTCAGAACAAATCGAAACTAAGCCTTCTCTATCACCTCTAACTGCTGCACAAGCGTGTGGTTGAGTTTTATCAAAATCATTTTTTCTCTTAAGTTTAAAGCATTCACTGATCAGATGACCTTTTTTCTTACAATAACTACACGGAGGAAGCGACCCTATTCCAGATGATCCTTCAAAACGTCTTGAACCGGACTTAAAACCACCTTGGGATGGAGACTGGGAAATTGTGGAAGACTGAGACCCTGAACCACTCTTTTTATATGTGTCTGAATTTGTAGAATTATTGCTAGACTGAGATCTTGAAACAAAATTCTTTTTATGAGACAGAGCATAAGTATCAGATATGACTGCTGCCTCTTCAAGAGTTTTCACATTTTTATCTTCTAGATGTGTTTTCAAATCTTGAGGAACACATTCCTTAAACTCTTCTACCAGGATGACTTGGCGCAAATTAGCAACAGTTTTTTCAAGTTTCTTAGATCTAAACCAGTAATTGAATAAATCTTCTTTCTCTCGTGAAAATTCAACAAATGTTTGATTATCAAACTTCCTATACTTTCTGAATTTTTGTGCTATTCCTTCAGGTACTAATTCATATGCTTTTAATATTGCTGCTTTGACCTCCTCATAGTCTGAACTCTCAACTACCCCTAATGCAGAGTATACCTCAGCCGCTTTTCCAACCAGTAACATCGTTGACCAAACATTCCGTGGCCATTTAAGATTCTCTGCGACCTTTTCAAATTGGGGGAAATATTTGTCTACAGATTTTCTGAAGAAATTTTGGAACTAATCTGATATTTTTTGCTGTGTCAAATTCAGTTTTGATCTTGACGGTTCTGGTTGGTGCTGTAATTTTAATTTCTCTAATTCAAAGTTCATTTCACGCTCTCTTTCTCGCTCTTGTCTTTCTAATTTGTCTAATTCAAATTTTCCTTCACGCTCTCGTTCTTCTCTTTCTCTTTCTCGCTCTTCTCTTTCCCTTTCTCGATCTTCTCTTTCTAATTTTTCTCTTTCAAATCGCATTTTCTCTAACTCTACTTGAAACTGATATTATTGCCGTTTATAAGAGCTTAACTCTGATTTAACTGTGTATTCTGGAAGTTCGTATTTTTCAAAGATGTTTTCTTCTACTTATTTTTGTGCAACCTTTATTCTAATATCTTGCTTTTTCTGAGAGGATTTAACATCTAACCCAAGATGAAAACCTAATGCGATCAATTCATCCTTTTTTAACGTATCAAAAACCTGAACACTTGGTGAATTAAGAAAGTCTGTGACCACCGAAAACACCATGTTGATTTCTGCTGGCTTATAATTTAATTTAACGATTCAATTAACAAAATTTTGACAATAAACTGCAAAAGTGCAAGAAATTCTTTATCCCGGACGAGCCCCCAATTCTGTTATGGGTCAGAATTACCCTTAAATGCCAGCAAAGATCAATCACACTATTTAAACTTAACAATAATTTATTAACATTAATATATACAAATCATCAAGTACAAACTTAGCAAGAATCTAAAAATACATACATCATAGTGTCCGTTGCTGCACACAATGTCCAGTGTAATTATATCCTAGTCTCTTTATACACCTGTACATCAATGTTACTTATACGACAAATTATTGTTATTGCATCGAATTGACAGAGTATTTATACAGTACTATAAATCTAGAAAATTCTAGAAGTTGTAAGTACATGATATTACTGGAAGTTCTGGACATACACAAAGTTCAAGAATGTTCTAGAAAAAATGACCGAACATGTTGACCACTCTGGAATGTTCAAGAAACTTAATGTTACTAATTATATACATGATGAAACAATACAAATACAACACACCTCACAACAAAAAGCTAAAGATGAATGAAATTACTGAGGAAACATAAGAAAATAATTAAATACTGACTAAAATGTTACAAATTAAATGAAACCAAGGTTTAATGAGGATTTAAAGGTCATAATAAAAATATACTCCAGATTATATCAATCTCAGTTATTCTCTTACTAATCACTGATCACATTTTCTAGATCACTTTTAGGATCACACATAATAAAGCATAAATGTAATTATACTTTATTTCTTTTGTAAGTTTTTGCCGACTTTTTGTATGAATGACGGAAAAAGAACATGTGGTTGCATTAAACTGTATGCTATTTAAATCAAGTATATAGTGATTAGTATATAGAAGTAGTAATATGAAATATTAAGTCTTTACACAAACTCATTTTTTTTCGTATTAAAATAAGTACATTAGTAATTATAAATACCTAGCCAAAATTCATTTGATATGTTTCCGAACCCATTCTTGTACTCATTCCAGGTTCTGAAGAAATCCTCGGATCCATCCTGTCTCCTTTGTATTACCTAGAGTAAAATTCATTTAATACACAAACTACTTATTAGGATGGATAAATCAATTATTTTGAATAAAAATTTGAATTTTCAGTCACAAAACACATATCATAAAATATTTCCTAAAACATAACAAAACTCATTTTCATGCAACAACTTAAAAGTAGGAAATTGTGTATGTTGTCAATTTCAATTTGATGTCACGTGGTCATTACCGTCCATCCACCTCCAGCTGTCTCTTGATTACAATAGACCTGGAATCCAGTTCCTTTATTTGGGTAAATGGTATACACCTTACTCTCTCTGTAACCTCTGTTTAACAGGTCCTCACAGTCTTGTGGGTACATGTATAACGTATGACAGGCGTCTGTCAAACAGGAAAAACAATGATTACAAGTAAGTGAATGTTTAAGAGAACCATTGAAAAATAATAGATTACAATAGAAGTCGGAAAAGTCTTCTCTTTTTTATGTTTGAAAATAATGCAACCTTGAAATAAACATTTGGTGACCGTGTTTTATAATTTTTTTTAGCAAATCTGCATATGAAATATTATCATTTATGAACAATATTTGTGATTATACAAGCTGGGAAAATGTTTGCTTACAAAAAAAATCAAACAACATATTTAGATAAAAATCATAGACATGTTTTTTATTGTTCGACACATGAAAACAACGAGCTTTTTGAGAAAATCCTTCCAATGTGTTCGTTATTTTTTTTTTAAATAATTTCAATTTAGATCAACTCTAAGTTTATACTTTTAAAAGATCACATACAATATGTCAGTGTAATATCTTTGTTTGAAAAATGAAAACATTTTTTTTGTAAGGTTTTCTATACGACGTGTTTGGCATTTTGAACCATAAATTTCATTTTTTGGTCAACCCTAAGTTTATATTTTAAAGAACATAAAATGTCTGAAGTCGAATAATAGGTCAAGTACAATTACGTACATTTATGCAAAATTTTAACTTAAATAATAATGTATCTGAACCTGGTTATGTACAGATTTGCAAATTCATATGAAAGACAACATTTAATTTGATATCAAAAATGATTTTTTAAAATAAATGGAAAAAGACTAGCAACTTCATTTTTACCTTTCCCACAACTTTGTAGTAATCCAAGTATTGCTGCAAGTTGCATGTTTATTTTTCTGATATCCTCTTTTGTTGCCAATCCTGTGTTATAATCAGAAATCTGTCCTCCTGATTTCAGTGTGTCATTGCTATTGCAGATAGCGTCATTCACTTTTACAATATTTGAGGCAAAGTTAAGAAGTGTATGAAATGAGGTCGTTTCTGTTACACATTGATCTATTGGCTCGGGTAAAATCGCACTCGTAGCTGGTACCAAAAATAGTACAAATAGTATGATGTTCATTTTAGTTTAAGTCGTCTGTTAATTAAAGCAAAAGTAGAATTAAAAACAGTATGTAAAATCTCAACCAATAATATTCAGAATTATATATAAAATATTTAAGCTCTTTTATATAAATATGACTGTTGAACAGAGATAATTCACATTAAAATATTGCCTCTGCTAGACCATAACTACATGTAATCTTTTGTCTGATAAAAATTCAGTGAAATATGATCTTTACAAGACCATAAGTACATGTAATCATTTGTCTGATCAAAATTTCAATTTAAGGAATCAGGTGAAAATATGACAGTGAAACCGGGGAAATAAAATCAACAATCAAAATGTTCATTTTCACCTACCTTCTTATGGTACCACGATATTTCAAAATAAAATATGGAAGGTGCGCTTCTTTTATTTTCTCTCGCTCAAATCATCGTGACTTTGTAAGATTTAAATTTGAAGCACGATTCTTTCACAGATGGTGCAATATCATGATTTATTTCTAAAATCATGTCTAATCCTTTACTCTGACTCAAGGCCCCTGGTGATTCATGCCAAACTTCAACCTCTGAGCTGTTTAAAACAAGATGTATCGGTTGATATTCAACCATCAATCAACCTGGTGAAATGATTTTCACCTTTGTAGAAGGTCTCAACCTGGAGTCAAACCTTGGACCTCAAGTTCACTTTATGCTTGCTAAAAATCTCATCATGGATAAATTGCAAATTTTAACTTTTCACGTTTTTGCTGTTATTATTATTACAGTTTTTCATGCACAAAACTTTGAGTCTAATGATTGACGTTTTCCTTAAAATTTGTTCAAAGGAAAAAACAATGTTGTTAATTATGTTGTAGAACCGAGAAAAAAAAATTTATCAATATAAAAATCAACAAATATCTTGTTTGTTTTATAATTGTAAAAAAAAAATCCATAAATTAGAAAGGATAATTATTTTTTTATATTTTAATTGAGACTGCATAAAAGATTATCTAACATCGTCTCAGTAATCCCAATCTTGCATTAATATTAAGAAAATATACGACAAAATAAAGACATACATGTAGTAAGTTGTAATATAAAAGAAAGTTAATTCAACATCCCAAATACAGAGTGAAAAATATTACAAAAGCTACATGTATATACCAAAAAATCACATTAGGATGAGCATCCCAATAGCATTTAAGGCTGCCTTAAGGACGATGCATTGATTATTCAGCTGGCATTTGTTTTAGTTTTTTGTTTCTTTTATGTAATATATACATATATATTTTTTACAATAAAACACGCTTGTTAAAAAAGGGCCAAGGACGGGAATTTTTGCTTCTTTGTCAGCTTCTTTGTCAGGATAATTTTATATTGCATTAAGATTACAATATATTCCAAGGACTCGAGGAATTTAAATCAATTCGCTGAAAATGTCAATTATTGTTAGTGCATCAGTTGTAGGCGTCATTTACTGTTACAGTAGTACTTTTCTAAAATTAATTTTTGATTTTCTCTAAAATTTTATACGTGAAAAGAAGAAAAACAATTGCAGTGACCTTAAACTCGACATTTAAATATATCGCCGACGTATAGTACCAATTACCAATAATCAGTTGCTTCCTTATATGGTATATCCCGGTTAGGTTGAGAAAAAGATGCCACAAAGTCTGACACATCGGTTTCATATTTGCATACTTTACTAGAAAAGACGTTAATGGTAATTTAACAGCCGATCTCTATGATAAACATGGTGGCTTTAACTTTCCAATCGCCAACTTCACCCGGACACCTACACTGTACTTATGCCATAATATATCTTCATAACTCTATAATTATATCTCTCAGTTTATTCGATACCTGAAAACATGCACTTTGCAACTAAAGTTTCAAAACGAGATAAATTATTGATAAACATATTGATGAAATATGAAGTTCTTTGATCGATTTAATGACCATGTCAACAAATATAATTTATCATTAAGTCAAATGCTAACTAACGTTTGTCATGCTAATTGTTAATCGAATATTTACATTTGCTTTACTTTACTTTTGAGCTTAATATTGTTATCCTTATATGTTTCATTCACGTCAATGTTGTTTCAAAATTATAAATGTATGTTCAGAGTACTCTTTATAATAATCTATTATAATTCTGAAATATTTTAATTTATTTTATGAAAATTGCTCATGAAGATGACTATTTTCAGTTGCTCTGCTTTTGATCACGTCTACTTTTCCTCGCTAGATCACCAAACACTTGAATAACGAACTAAATGTCATTTATTTGTTTAGAGTGATCTGCATGGTGTAGGGGTACAGTCACGACTACCGCAAATTTTGAATTTCGAGGGCTTAGAATCTAGAGAACATGAGATTAAACCATCAAAATGTACAGGAAAATAGGAATTTCTTTTCATGTACATACATGTAAAGATAAAAAAAAATAATTTAATATTATCTGACAAAAAGGAGACATATTCTTGAATGTTATTATCTATACGTTGAAGTTTTTTTTTTTTTTAATTGAATATGTATAGACCTAACAAAAAGCCGCAGTAAGGAACATTTCTACATTTACATATATCAGAATGAA